GAAAAATGGTGTGTGACAAAGTGGTGTGTGAAAGATGGTGTGTCAAAGATGGTGTGTGACAAAATCGTGTGTGAAAGATGGTGTGTCAAAGATGGTGCGTGACAAAGTTGTGTGTGAAAGATGGTCTGTGACAAAGTGGTGTGAAAGATGGCGTGTGTGTGTGACAAAGCGGTGTGACAAAGTGGCGTTTGAAAAATGGTGTGTGTGGGGCAAAGTTGTGAGTGAAAGATGGTGTGTGACAAAGTGGTGTGACAAAGTTGTGTGTGAAAAATGGTGTGTGACAAAGTGGTGTGTGAAAGATAGTGTGTGACACGTGTGAAAGATGGTGTGTGACAAAGTGGTGTGTCAAAGATGGCGTGTGACAGATGGTGGTTTACGAAGTGCACGCTGCAGGTCCCCAGTGCCACAATAGCCCACCACGCCTGCCACTTAAATGGAACGGTACAGGGTCACCAAGCGCCACGCCGCCGACGCAAAACGAAGGTGGATGTCACCAAGTGCCACACCTGCCGCGCAAAGTCGCGCGACGCCCCGGGCGACCCAGCGCCCCCAAGCGCGCCACCAGAGCCAGCCCAGTGCCCCAAGTGCCACGCCTGCGATGCGAAACGAAGGTGGATGTCACCAAGTGCCACACCTGCCACGCGAAACAAGGGTGGATGTCACCATGTGCCACGCCTGCCACGCAAAGTGGCGATGCGCCCCGGGCGACCCAGCGCGCCCAAGCGCGCCACGAGAGCCAGCCCAGTGCTCCAAGCGCCACGCCTGCCATGCGAAACCAAGGCGGATGTCGCCAAGTGCCACGCCTGCGACGCGACAAGGGTGGATGTCACCATGTGCCACGCGCCTAGCCACGCAAAGTGGGCGATGCGCCCCGGGCGACCCAGCGCGCCCAACAAGCGCGCCACGAGAGCCTCCCAGTGCTACCAAGCGCCAACGCCCTGCCATGCGAAACCAAGTCGGATGTCGCCAGTGCCAACGCCTGCGACGCCAGGATGGCATGGCGTCAACACTCTAACAAATGCGTGTGAAAGATTTGTGTGACAAGTTTAGGTGTGACAAAGTTGTAATGTAACAAAGGTGAGGGAGGTGGTGTGGAAAGATGGTGTGTGACAAAGTTGTAGTGAGAGAGATGGTGTGAGAGAGATGGTGTGTGACAAAGTTGTGTGAGAGAATGGGTGTGAGAAAGATGGTGTGTGACAAAGTTGTGTGAGAGAATGGTGTATGAAAGATGGGGTGTGACAAAGTGGTGTGAGTGAGATGGTGTGAGAAAGATGGTGTGTGACAAAGTTGTGTGTGAAAGATGGTGTGTGTGACAAAGATGGTGTGTGACAAAGTTGTGCGAGAGAGATGGTGTGTGTGACAAAGTTGTGTGAGTGAAGATGGTGTGCGACAAAGTTGTGTGAGTGAGATGGAGGCGGAGGCGGCCGAGGAGGAGGAGGAGGCGGGATACAGAATCAAAAAAAAGAACCCCACACAAAGATGTGGGGAATGATGATCACTTCGGGCAAAAAAACAATCACTTTGACCAAAAACCGGAATTTTGTATCCAATGATGATCACTTTGGTCACAAACCTTTGGATATAAATCAATTTGTCCGAACGAAGGCGCGGCCCCTCCCCCCGCAACGCGTTCCAGCAAAGAAGCAAAAGGAACAAGTCTCAGTGGCAGTTGCCGTGGTCTTGTTGTTGCATGTATGATGGTGGTGGTGCTGGTTGTTGCTGTGGTGCTGGCAGTGGAGGTTCAGGAGGATAACAAAAGAAAACTTGAACGGTTGCACAGTCCACCTGTCTAGAATTTCGCATTCCTGTGGTCTGGCAGTAGTATATACATTCTTTCAATGCGTGTGCCAGCTAAGTCCTGCCAGTAACATCCTCACCATACCAATGTTTTGCAACATTCTGAGTTGTCGTACTGCGCTGCAGCATTGTGTCCAGTGATGTTAAGCACTAAAAATTTACAGCCCGCAGCCGCGAAACATATACTATATAGCACTATGGCCAAGCATTGCTAAGCGCAAGCAAGGGCATGTTGGAATCATACAACGTTTTCCAATCCACCACCCCAACTTCTGAAGCAAGAAATGGATGCAACTATCTTGATAGAACATACGCACATGCATGTCACTATAACTGATATATATATATATACACATACATATTTAGGTAGATAGATAGATAGATAGATAGACAGAAAGATAATTAGATAGATTGGATAGATAGAAAAATATATTGCAGATTTATATCTATGGCAAAGGAAAGTTCTTCTCTAGTAAATCTAGTAAGAAGCGCGATACCACAACCACGCCACACATTAGGTTGGTGAAATCTCAAGTCTGACGTGCTGTTCCGCTTACATGCAAAATCAGACATCTGCTATCGATGCACATCACTGACAGGCGTTGCCGCTTTGCGCACATGCGTCGAAGTGATCACTGCTTTCGCCCAGGAACCAAGGACCTAGAACCGGGAACAAAGAAATAACCCGGAACCACAAACCAAAAACCAAGAGCCATGAACCAAGAACCCGGAATGAAGCCAGCAGCAAGAACCAAGAACCAGGAACCCGGAGCCAAGAACCAGGGACCCCAAACCAAGAACGAAAAAACAAGAACCAGCACCCGCGAACCCACAATAACCCACAGCCAGGAAACCGGAAACTAAGAACTGGGCACCCGGAGTCACTGGATGAAGGCATGCCTACTTTACGGCCATAGCGATTAGCAACAAAGGTCCGAAGCGATGCGTGAACATGCGACCAAAGCGGCTCAAAAATGCGACCAAAGCGAACGCGCGACCCTTCGCCACGTGGCTTACCAAGATTTCCGTGTTGAACTTGGAATGTCCACCTAAACATCCAAAACTCCCTTCCGCTCGAAGTGCAAGCAGCTTCAAGATGTTGGCGACATCTCTCTCTGATTCCGGGAAATTGCCCGGCCATCACGTCTATGCACGTCGAAACGTAGAGACGGTACAGCCAATTGAAGTTAAGTACCCATGAACACATTGCATGAGGAAAGTTATGGTGTGTTGTAAAGATTTGGTATTCAAAGCCTTGAGGTCTCAATTCCTAGGTAATCATCCTGAAAGAGCAACGGTTCAACAGTTCAACTGGTCAACTTGATCGAATCAGAATAAAAGATTGCGAAATTTGCAAGATGCAAAAGTCAGGTTCTATAAGCTTAGCCGGTTGCTATCGATGCAGGTACACATCAAAGCGTCCTTTGATGTTCCCCCTACCACATCCCAGCTTCGTTGGACCAGGTTGGATGTGATAGGCCTGGCCCCCCTGCATGTTAATAACATTGAAACATTTTCCAAAACTTCATGTGACTAGCCCCTCACCGTGAGGGGCAAACAATGATGCCCAGCAAACTATGGTACTACCACCGCTGCATCAACTGCTCTACGGAATGACGCTGCATCAAATGCCACTCTCAGAAATGTATAGGAATGTGACAAAATCCTGTCGGTCCCTGACGGTGAACAGTTCAAGTAGTCGAAAACAGATCAAACCCAACAGGTCTGTACATTGGGATTTTACACGCGCACACCAGCGGGGGGAGGGAAGGAGGGAGGGAACAAGGACAGCCAGCCACAACCAACAATGGGAAAACAGGGAAGCAACAAAGGCAGAGAACAGGCAGGGGGAGCACACAACAAGCAGCCGGAACAAAGGAAAGGAAAGGGGTGGAAGGGAGGGGGGAGAAAGCACACGGAACATTGGCAGGCAGAAGAGAAAGAGCGCAAAGCAAAACACACAACAAAGCAAAACCAACCAGCAGCGAGACAACTGAAGTAGGACAGCAAACCTTGATTTGAGAGTAATACCCAAAACAATCCACATTAGAGAGCAAGGTAAAAGATGTAAAGAACATATTTCACATAATTTCACTGTATTCAAAGAGGAAGACAGGCAGAATATGGCAAAAATCTTGAACTGGAGAATCAACCGGGCAGATCATGACAGGATATGACAGCTATAAACTTGAAATGTGGCTTCTGGTTGTTTGTGCTATCCTGTGTAGACTTAAACATCACCCAAAATCAACAGAGATTGGAAGAATTCTTGAAGAAAGAAACAACAGTTAGTTTGAACTTTGTAAGGGCTCAGGTGGGCCCATCAGAAGCCACATTCCTCAAATCTCCACCTTGGGTTTGAGTTTTGTAGAGGCTCTTGTGTCAAATCTTCCTTGTGGAAAGCGCTGGGGCCGCTTGCTTTGGATGAGGTGAGACGAGCTGACAAGAGCTGAGATCAGCTGCGGAGAGGAGATGTGAGAAGAGCTTAGAAGATGTAAGAAGATTTAGAGAAGAGACGAGAAGACATAAAATGAGCTGACATGAGCTGCGGAGAGCTGAGAGGGGTTGAGAAAAGCTGTGAAATTCTGAGAAAAAGCTGAGATAAGCTGAGACGAGATAAGAAGAGATGAGAAAAGCTCAGGTGACATGAGAAGAGAAGAGAACAGTTGTGATCAGCTGAGAAGATGAAAAAGGGAGAGAAGACATGAGATGGGATGAGATGAGATGAGGTGAAAAAAGTTGAGAAGAAAAAGATGAGGTGAAAAAAGAAGAGAAGACATGAGATGAGATGAGTTGACACGAGATGGGATGACGCAGACTGCGGCGACAATGGGATGCAATGAGAAATTTCCAAGAGGAGCTGCGATGCGATGAGATCAGATGAAAGGAGAAAAGATGCAACATTCAAAAGATATGGCGCCAGATGGACAAGTCAAGGGCTCGTTGCTGCAAAGCACAGAAAGCCTGGCAGCAACCTATAGGCACAGTCTTTGTTCCGTTCTATAGGCTATAAATTTATAAGTGTTTCAACTTTGAAACTTCCGCCCCCGGCTTGCCCAGGAACTACTTGTAGCGTGTCTGGACCAATAGTTTGAAGGCAAAATGACACAAGAAAGCTTCATCCCACAAGGGTTTGCTGGCCTGCTTCTCCAGTTTGCCAAAGAAGCGACCTTTTGCAGGGCCCTTTTGAAACTAAGCCGCAGGCCCACTTCAAATTGTCCCAGCCACGAAGTTGCCCCCCTGACGAGTCCGTGACCCGCCCTAGCAAGCAGTGCTTGCTAAGCAGAAAGAGTCCAGCATGGCCTTGGTCTGAATAAAAGATGCGCCTTATACATCTGACGTAAGCAGAAGGCTAAAAACCAAAAGGACACGGCCTTGCGCCGCAGCTGCCGAGCCCAATGCTGCCCAGTCGCTTACCATCTCTAAAAGTGTGGACAGTGTGCAGCTTTGCCCAAAGAAGAGCAAAAGCCGCACCAAGTCGATGCCTCATTTCTCAGACAGCTCTTGGAGGAATTACAATGCGTCAGGGGCCATGAAAAACTTGAAAAAGCACAGAAAGGAGCAGCTGCAAAGGGCGTGCAAACGAGGCAAGACACCCACTTCAGGCGCAGCAATGGCTTGATTCCGCCACAATCTTCCCAGCGTTGGAGCAAGAGGGGCGCCCCAACTTTGGCACATCGCCAAAATAGCGGTGAAGGGCAATGCCATGGTCCTTGGAGGCGCGAAGGTGGAAACCGGCCTCGCCTTCTGTATCTGCAGTGCTTGTGGAACAACGCCCCTACAGTACTGCATTTACCACACAATTTTTTCCGCTATGTTTTGAAACCTGCTTTTTGTCTATAAAAACTTCGTGTCTCAACAGCGCGCGTTCTCTCCAGAATCCTGGTTTGGAACACAACTTTCGGCTGACAGGGCCAGTCCCTCGGATACATGGGCTTGTGGGCGCTCATGAAATTCATCAGGAGAAGCGCTTGAAGAATAATAAAAAGGCGACCGCTGAAGTCATGCTAGCTCACGTGTTTTCGAACCCTGGAGACGTGTAGAGCGGCCAGTGAACCTGGTGACCCGTGTCCCTCGTGCAATTTTTCTTGTTGTCGTTGCGGTTGTTCTTGGTCTTGCTGTCACCATTGCCCACGCGCTCAAAATCAAACCGCATGAGTGACAAAGGGCAATTGAGGATCACTCTGCAAGCAAAAGCGTCAAAACCAGGGTCAAAACGTTTTCCAAAACAATGAAAGCGATCGTGCGCGTCGTGGCGCCTTCAGTCTTTACCTAATTCCTGTTTGCTGCACCTCTGTGTGGTAGTTGCGATTGTAGCCAAACGTGCAATTTGGGCTCGGTCCTGTCCTTGCTCATGTCGTCCAGAAAGTAGCTCGGTCTGTGAAGCGTTCTGGTCTTCAAGCGTTCAATGTCATTTAAAATCTAGTGGCGACACCTGACAATTTACATGAGCATGTGTAGGTCGCGGCTTGTTGCTGCAGGGTCGGATGCTATGGTATGCTAAGGGCTTGCTCAGCAAACACACATCCCAGTCCAGCGCATCAAGAATGCCAAAAGTGGCTCCCCTCGCCGCAGTCACTACAAGGAACTTGTACCATGTTGCTACAAAGCTTCTGTGCAGCATCCGTGGCCCAGGAATTGGTGCGCGAATTTCGGTCGGACGTGAATTTTAATCCGTTCAAAAGCAAACATGCCCTGTGTAATAGCGGTTTCGCTTGTTGATGTTGCTCATTTGCGTTGTCGCGGAGCGCGAGACATGTTGGTAGCATCTTAGTCGGAATGGAATGTATTTGAGAAAGGCGTAGCTAGACTGCAAAATGACAATTGGTCTGTTTCTCTGATGCCAACATTGCTGGTACTTGCAGGCCTGTTGCTCTTTTCAAGAAAGCATGCGAAACAACGCCGGAAATTACAGTGCCTTGCAGGGTCCCAGGGCAAACAAAAACATCCATCTGTATTCCCTTGTTCTTTGCCCGTAGTTTTGAAATATCCCCTTGGAGTTGAACTTCTTAAAATAAAAGCTGACATGTTATTCTGCCAGCTTTTCGCCCCCAATGCCGCATTTTTCGAGCCAAAAAACATATATACACCGATCATCAGGGATCCCAGGGGCTTTGTTGTTGTCGTTGGTGTTGGCGTTGGTGTTGTTGTTGTTGTTGTTGTTGATGCTGTTGTTATCTTTGCGCCCCAACAAGTTTGTAATCAGTGGTGTATAGTAGGCGCTGACAAACAGAGCGTGTAAAGGAGTTTGTTTTCTGTCCGCCAAGCGTCAGGATCGACTCGCAACACTTTTCTTTTGTTGATGCGGGTGAGGCCCGGACAGAATACAAAGAAGATGGTGAAAATGATGGCGCTGACAGCGGTGGAAAAAAACTCATGGTGCGGATGGTGCTGACGATGATGTCGATGATGTCGACGATGGTGAGGACGACGGTGATGACTTGACACGGGTGATTTGGAAACGGCGCTTTGAAAACGATGACTTCAAAACCTTTCTATGATGACGATGATGATGGGAAGCGTGATGATGATGATGTTGTTGATGATGACGGCGACGGCGGCCAGTATAATGATGCTTAACGTGCTGACAAGGATGAGAATCATGATGGTGATGATGGTGACGGCGGCCGGGCGTGATACAAACGACGACCAAGTCCAAATAATGAGCATGGAGGATGAAAGCGAAGAGGTGATTGCAGCTATCCGGATGATTAGGAGGGCGGCAACGATCCATACAACGCAAGACTATGCCGCCAAAATGGAAGCCGTGTAAAACAAGAAGGGAAACAATTGGTTGTGACAACCTGGGAAAATCCACCGGAGCAATTGGTTGAATGTTCAACCATCTTAGGGGGGCCTCCAAGAGGCAACTGCTGCAAAAACTATCAGGACAAGCATCCAAATGCGTAGGAAGCGGCCGGCAAAAGCATTGATGAGCAGCGCCGAGGCATACGGAAAAATGCCATGTGGAAGCCGTGCCTGCTGCTTGCGCTTGACCACAAACCTTCCATCAAAGCTTGTGCCCATCATAGTCCGCCATGCTGGAATGGCCATGCCAGCAGGCACGTAGGTTTGGTCCATTGTGGCAGCCCCCTGGCCCAAACTGGAGCCGCCAGTCAGGAGCGTCCAAGGCCCTGCGAAAGAGCGTTCCTTCATATGTATCCTGCGCGGCGGGCCAGGAGGAGTAACAATCACCAAACTTCCCCCTACCGGTGCCAAGTTTGCCCTGTTCACCTTGAAAAAAATATCCGGTGGTAATCAGCATATAGGTTGGTACCCGGTACACGCCGTAAATTAAAATTCAAGTAGTGGACCATCTATATATATATATAATTCCGCATGTCAACTTTTTCCAACAAGTCTCATAGGGGGCAACCAAAAAATATGCCGATGAAAAAAGTAAGAAGGAGGCGGAAGGCATACAAGCGATGGTGCGAGTTTGCTCGGCACAAGTTGCGTGTGACAAGGTTGCTTGTGACACGGCTGTATGTGAGAAGAGTGGATGTGAAACAAAGCCTAACCCTGCAGCTGCCACATGCGCTTGCCATGCGCAAGCTACCTGAAAATCAGGAAATGCTGCCCCTGCCAGGCTTAAGTTTCGCTGTGGTAGGTTGGTTTAGGCGCTTCCGTCTTCCCCCTCCTCCGCTGTTCTTGTTCCGTTCCGTCGGCCTCCGGTTTTCTATGGTTTTCTTCTCTTGCCCTTTCAGGGTTTGCCCGCTTTGGGCCAGGTGTGTTTGTGTTGGTGTTTGCTCCTTCCCTCTTCTTTTGCGTTCCCCTCTTTGCGTCCTGGTTAAGTAACTTTCATCTCATTTTCATTCTCACCTCATCTTCATTTCCTTCATTCCCAATTTCATCTCATTTGTCCGGACCTTAATTTTCCCACCCTCCTTTGGGAGGGTGTGTGTGTGTGTGAACCATCTGGAGAGATGTAAAACTTCTATTTTTTTTTACGGTTTTCGCTTTCTGCCAAGTTGGGGGCGGTTTGGCTTTGTTGAAAGAAGAGTTTGCTACCAGTTCATTCCATTTAGCACTGGCTATGGTGATGGCAGCTTTCACTGTTTTTCAGGTCCTTCCAGTGACCTTCTCCTGTCAGGTTTAAAGGGATTGTTTTTGCACGTCCGATGCGTTCCACAACAAAATTTGCAATGACAGTTCTGAGCAAGTGTGTAACCTCTGAATTGATGTTAAACTTCTGTTGTACTTCCTTTTCATATATTGCGGGGGGTCACCGGGGTCCCGGGGGGTCGGTGACCAACGAAGACACCTCCCCGGGGCCCGTGTAAACGTACCCGCAGGACTTCGGTGGAGCACCTGGGCGCATTTAAGTCGCAGCTGGTGGCCACCGTAGTATGTATGTATGTATGTATGGATGGATGGATGGATGGATGTATGTATGTATGTATAAGGTCAGGTCTAGTTCGCTATCTGTAAGTTGAGAGCGCTATGGCTTTGTTGAAGGGAAGAGTTAGCTACCAATTCATTCCATTTTGCACTGGCTATGGCGATGGCAGCTTTCACTGTTTTTCAGGTCCTTCCAGTGACCTATTCTTGTCAAGTTAAAGGGATAGTTGCTGCACGTAAGATGCGTTCCTCAACAAAATTCGCAATGACAGGTCTGAGCAAGTGTGTGTGTGTGTGTGGAACATCTGAACAGATGTAAAACTTCTTTTTTCTACACTGTTAGGACATGCAGTGGGGCTGTAGCCAATTTGCCTATCCAGTCTAACGAAGCTATGGCATTTCTGTGGATGAGTGGTCTGATCAACCACTTGTACCTGCATTGTTTTCTCCGTCTTTGTGGCAAGGGGCTAAGCCAAGAACCCCAACAGCATTTTCGTTTCTACACGGTTGTCGCAACCTGAGATTTCCTTTGACGTCATTTCAAACTTCGTTTACATTGTATTTTTACGGACATGGCAAAGGGCTAAGCCGAGAACCCTGCACGTTGACATGGTCCTTGTCGAGATGTTGGTTTTTACATGGACTTGGCATTAACTATTCTATGTTCTTGGAACCTTAAAATTGTCTTTGTCGAGATGATCGGTTTTCCATCTTGGTTATTCTATATATTATGTGAATCGGAGATTGTCTCCGATATATGCGTGTGTGTGTGTATACCGTGGTAGATTGTTCGAATGCTCTTCAATGACGATCGGCCAGCGGCTTCGGCATTGCAATCCTTTTGCTGAGTTACTGCAGTATTGGCGTCTTGAGCCATAGCGGCGTCATTGGATAGACCCCTTGCGGCTGGAGATTTAAGATACCTACATATATGGGATTATGTAATGTACACTGTAGCCATTATCCCATTCGCACCCCCCACGCCTGTTAGAGTTAGTCTTTCAGGCGCCGGAGGAAATCTTAAAACTCAGTCGCCTGCAGTTTACATTATCGTTAATTGTCGAGCTATACATTCTTCTCGCGGCTTGCTATCCTCCTTCTCAACTACACCCACTGTCTACATGCATGCTGTCAAGGCGACGCCTATGTACAGCATTGAGATTCACTTCATGTGGCGACGCCAACACTCGGTTTCACTCAGGCATGACACAAATGTAAAACAAAATAAACTGACTACAGAGCTAGAGTTTTACCTTCCCGCTCTTTCGTCAAAGAGAAATAGACCGCTGTAGAAATTCAGCTCTCAATGCAATGATGTCTAGATAGCATCGTATCTTTAAAAAAAATGTTCGCAAATTAGCCGGCTCAGATTCCTCTCAGAAGTCATTCACATTGATGGTGAGATCAATCATGAGCACTGATTGCTGCTCTTTCGCCAGTCATATCAGGACCTATGCAGAGGTCGAGTGAAGTTATCGCCAGTTCCCTCTTCCGTAGTATCCTGAACAATTCCAATCGCCGCCACGGTGTGAGCAGGTCTTACCACCCTTCCCGTAGTCTTTTCCACCTTTCCAAGGTGGAGACGCTGGTGTCTGTTTTGGCGGAGGTGCAACTTCGGGTTGATGAGCTGAAGTCGAGATGATGATTTTGCGCTTGCAACAGCGCTTGCCTTTGGTGCTGCCTTCGATTTACCTTTCGCAGATGCATTGAGTTCACGTCTAACATCTTGAGGTACCTGCGTGTCGGCAATGGCAATCAAATGGGCTTCCGACATGTGGATTCCCCACCTTGGCCGTTGATCATCGCGTTGTTTCGACTTGTTGTAGTCTTCGATCGCATCATACAGTCGGAAAAGTAAAGGTCGAGGGAGTTGTTTGCCATTCTGTAGGTTGAGAGTTGCTGTGTTCTGGAAGTCCACGTTCCTGAAGAAATACGCGGCATTCACTCTGTAAGCACCAGCGATCACTCTCCTGACAAAAGTGGATTGCCTGTCAAGGGCTTCACGGGCTGTTGCGGATTTTCTCATTTCTTCCTCGGCGGTGTCGCCTTTCTTCAATTGTTCGGTGTTCTCATCAATAAACATGTTTTGCAGATCGTCGAAGACGTATCCACACTCCAAGATGTAGATGAACAATTTCTTGAAAACCAATGACCCGTGATAGGCGTTGACGAAGCCATCCTCTCCCACATCATCTTTGTGTTCGGGTTTGCCAATTTGACGGTATAGGTCCCTCATCTGTTCATCACTTGGCTCGATGAGGTTGCCATCATCATCTTCACCGAGGTAAGGCACTTTCGGATCGAGGTCTAATCTGAATTGCTGATTCATCTGAAAATGCTGCCATGCTGTCTCAAAGGTACCACAAAAGTTCCTGTGAAACTGCTTGTACATCTTGAGGAGATTCAACCCCATTTGTAACAGCAAGATCTTGATGAGCTGAGGCTGGGCATCTCCGATCATGCAAGGCCCGACCGGAAGGACTTTCGACCCAAACTCGATCCTCTTCATCCAAGCTGGATACTCAATGTTGGCATCCCTTGCTTCGTCAGCCTCATACTCTTCGATGTTGATGTCTCCACCCTCGATTCCTTCTTCATCGACCATTTCGGCTTGTTCGCGTTCCTCGTTGAGGAATTCATCAACTTCATCTTGTTCTCTGAAATCTCGTCTTTCCGCATTGATGTCATCTGCTTCGGGCTTTCGATCAGCATCGTCCCCATCTGGTTGGACTTCTTCTTGCGGACTTTTCATAGTGACATCTTCATCATCTTGCATCTGGTCATCATCGTCGTCTTCTTCCGTCAAGTCAATCTTGATCTTCTCCCAAGCCTGCTTGACATGATCTTTGACATCGTCTTCTTGAGGACGTTGTTCAGCAGTAGGAACATTGGCAACGGTGACTTGATTCGTCTCCTCCATCCGTGACTGATCAAATATCCTTTGCAGATGACGCAAATTGCCAGTGCTGCTGGGGTCTCACATAGACACGCGGGGCATAGTCTATGACCTTCTTTGTTCGGACGATGAGTGAGCGCAAGGAGGGAAATGGTGTCATTCCAGTCCTTATGTCCAGGGAAAAGTCTGTTCGAATAGCTGATGTGGCTCGTCTTGATGTCGACGAGCTTGCGGAGTTCATTCAGGTCCGGAGAAGATTCGTCCGGAACCACGTTCCCAATGAGTTTGTCGAATCGATCGATTGTTGCGATCTTCTTTGCCCCTTGCACAGAAAGTACGATCTGCTCATACCCTTTTGTGATCATGAGACGGTAGAATTCTTCATCCTTCCAGTCATAAAACCATACTGCATCAAATGAATTGAAAGGAATCGTCTGTTGAATCAAGATGTGTCCGTCTGCTGATACACGTGGGGAGAACTTGGAGATAGATTCATATGTCATATAGATGTAGACAAGGTCTGTCTGGTCAATCTTTTTGAATCTCAGCACTGTTTTGCTCCGCTCGTCCCAAGGCGCGAATGGCACGAAGAACGTGTTGATGCGGTCTCCTCCTCCTCCAGGGCGTAGCCCTTCTTGGAAAATCTGTGCAATGCAATCAAATGTTGTGCAATGAAATCCTCGTCCAAGAGTATAGCCCACACTTGGGTTCATCAGGTAGGAAGTTTTGCTGTCTTAAATGTACACACCGCCTGGAATTCTTGAGTGTGCCATATAGGTGCCCTGACCGCAACTGGCCATAGCCAAATCTCACGATCCGCAGTGCCGATTTCCATTCTCAGCATCTGCGTGTCGACCCCCTTCATGAATGCATCGTCTCGATGAATGACTCGTTCCAGCTCACCCTTGGTGACTTTCAATCCTAGCAC